CTGTTGTAAGTAGTTGCCATAGGCCAGTGGTTATCACACAGAGTGTTTTGCTTCCCTGGGAATACATGGCAATGCTGGGACACATTTTTGGCTGTCATAAGTGGGAGAGGGTTGCTACTAGCCTTTAGCAGATAGAGGCCAAGGGTGCTTCTAAACCTGCAATGTACAGTCATCCCTCACAGCCAAAAAATTGTCCAGATAATGTCAGTAGCGTCAGGCTAAGAGAGCTTGCCATAGGCTGAGATGTGGCAATCATGGGGTCTCCTGATAGATCCAGTCCCATCTCAGGAGCTCCCAGCTTGGTGTCCACCACCCTGTGTCTGAGGCACAGAGAGGGTGGGAAGTCTGTCTGTGCTTTCTCAGTAACTTTACAGAGGCCAGGATCAGCATTGAGAGATCTGGCTGGGCGTTTCCTGATGGTAAGATGGGCGGTGTGACTAATACTGATGACAATGTGATGATTGACACTGTTCTGAGGGCCTAGTGGCCCAGCAGGATTTGATCACAAGACTGAATCCAAAGCACATGTTCTTAAAATATAGTAATTAGGATGGTGAGCCCTGGAGGCAGACCATGGAGCTTGAGTGTGGACTCTGCCACTTAACAGAAAGTGACCTGACTCCTTTAAATCCAGTTTCTTTATCTGTAAAATGGAAATAATAATAACAACAATAGTCACAGTGTAAGAGTCTCCAAATAATATTTTTATAAGGTAATTTTCAATAAATGTCAGCAATAAGAACTATAATAATAGTTACAACAATAATAATAATAGGTTTGGTTTTAGCCAGATCTATGTATAGTGTTACTGTTGATACCCCTGAGGTCTCTTCATTAGATGGGGTTGGTTGTCATAGAACCACTGAGCATTAAAGCTTTGTAGTGTGTAGGTAGGGGTGTGAGGGTGGGGTGCTGGGGCAGGTACTGACTGTGGGTTGAGGACCCTCTGGGAAGCACTGTCCATCTGTCTGTCTCTCTTGTATTGTCTCTAGCCTCCGGGAGGAAGTGGCTAAGTTCTTGTCTTTCTACTGCAAGAGTCCGGCACCCCTCAAACCAGAGAATGTGAGTAGCCCCCCTCCTCCACTTCTCCTTCCTGCTCTTCTATCTCACGCCCCAACTTTTGGGTGGTCAAGGAGGGGGTGGGGTTGGGATCTGCCTTTTGTTTAGTCTTGGATTGTTTTCAAAGTCAGTGAGAATGCCTCCTCCCTTCTTTCCCCTAACCCTAGAGGTTTAGAGTTAGGCTATAATTTCTGCCCCTCCCCCATTGTGCTGGGGCCCCTTGGCCTCCTCACCTTCAGGCAAGACCCTAGAGTGACCAGCTCCCTGTTTCTTGCTCAGTTGATCTGGAATAGAGACCCCACGAATGAGCTTGGCTGTGAGCCAGGGGAGGCCTTTGTGAGACAGAGCCTCAAGGACATTGAGGAGGGGCCTGGTTCTCCAGCTGTTCTGTCCTCAGACACAGGCTGCAGTCCTTGTTCCTCCTGGAACAGTAATCCCTTACCCCTGACTGTCACCCCCAGGTGGTTGTTCTGAATGGCTGTGCCTCTCTCTTCTCTGCTCTGGCCACCGTGCTGTGTGAGGCAGGGGGTAAGTGAACTCCATGGCCCACTCTGTGCTGGGCTGCACTGTGCCACGGTGTCCCCAGTTGCCTGGTGTCAAGGACTGTATCAGTATGTTTTTGGCCATCGTAGAATATAGGTGCCTACAGAGACCTTAAAGAAGGACTTAACAATACCTGGGTGGCAATTCTGGCGTAGGTTGGAATGATGTCAGGAGACTGTGCTTTCTCTCTGCAAGCACCTTGGCTTTCCTTATTCACTAAGTGGTTGTCAGATACTTCTCTAGCAGTATGTCTTACAGCAGGAAGTGAAGGACAAGGTTATGCCATGCCTGTCTCTTTCCTATCAGGGCAGAGGTGTGCTCCTTCCTAGAGAGTCCGAGCAGAGGCCCCTTGGATCCTACTGACTAGAGATGACTCCTAAACCTGTTCCCAAAGCAGTCCTTAGCAAAGAGGACTAAGAGAGCCAGGGTTGGCTTAAATCAGGCATGGTTCACCTCCACAGCTGGGAGAAGACCCGCCTGCCTTGGACAGCTTGCTGGTCCTCTCTGAAAAACCTGCTTTTCTTTTAGCAAGGAAGGAAACTAGAATGGTAGTTGGGCAGGCAGCCAGCAGGTCCTGCTATGAGAACCACGGTCATGTTAAGAACTGGTCATGGTCAGGGGTCATTGCTTACAAGGAACAAAGACCCGCTCATGATAATTAATAATGATGTTATTAGTAATATCTCTTTACCACTGCTTTGGAATATGACTTTATGCATAGTTCTGCCATTTAATCCTCACAACAGCCTTACCTATGAGGTGGTTTCTATGGTTGTCCCATTTTATAGTGGAGGAGACTGAGGCTTGTAAGATTTGTGGGATTCGTACCATACCAAGAAGATCTGTTGTGAGAATATCATAGATTGAACAATTGAGAACAGGGACCCTCTAAGTTTCAGTTAAGTTGGGATGATGATAGAACCTACTGAAAGCCATGGTGGGGAGCAGATGCAATGCAAATAGAAATTTAGTACAGTTCCCAGCACATAGTGAGGTGCTCAGTAAATGTTAGATATCAACTCCCTCTTGGCCTTTTGACCAAGATCAAGTGTTAGCTGTTAATTATAGATGGTTCCAATTTATGATGGTTCAATTTAGGATTGTTTGACTTCATGATGGTGTGAAAGCTGTATGTATTCAGTAGGAACTATATTCAAGTTTTGAGTTGTGGTATTTTCCCTGGCTAGCAATATGTGGTACCATATTTTCTTGCAACGTTGGGCAGTGGCAGGGAGCCATAGCTCCCAGTCAGCTGCACCATCATGAGGGTAAAAAACTGACATTCTGCAGTACACTGTGTTGCTAAGCTAATGAAATTCAGTAGGTTAGGTGGATTAAATGCATTTTTGACTTAATATTTTCAATTACAGTGGGTTTATATTGAAGTAACCCCAACGTAAGTAGAGAGAATCTGTATTAGGAAAGAGATTGATCTCAGTGGATCCAAGATTTAGGGGTTTTAGAGTTGAGGGTGGGAGCATTGCCTCAAATATTTCCCAACAATATTAAACTCCTGGAAGGTAGTGGGGCCTATAATGGGGCCTGGAGAGCTCTAGCCAGAGGGTGACAGGCTGCCTGCACCTGCCCCCAGATGCTCTCCTGATCCCCACACCTTACTATGGAGCCATCACCCAACACGTCTGTCTCTATGGCAATGTCCGACTGGTATCTGTGTATCTGGACAGCGAGGTAAGAGTTCCTGCATCTCAGGTGGGATCTGGGCCTTCCTGTAGGCCAAGAGCTTCTTGGGTTTAAATTTGTAGGTGGACATGAGAAGAAAGTACACAGAAGGGCTCTGGGGCTCCAGTGAGAAGGGAGTGGAGGCTTCTGTTACCATGTGGCTACCTGTACTTGGGTTTCCTGGGGGCTTCTAAGCTCCAGGCTTTGGGATTCCTGGGGTCCAGGTGGAAGCCAAGGATCAACCTCAGAAATAAAGGTGTGGGAAGATGAGCAAAACAGGCCTTAACGTGCTTAAGGAGGAAGGTGCTTAACATGAAAGTCCCAGGATTTTCTGACAGAAACCTAAGAGTGACAGTGGGGAGAAGGGTTGTCCCTGATGTGATTGGTGGGGGTACATGGTAGGAAGAGAGAATAATCCCACCCAATTTTCAGAGACAGTTCTGAGAAGACTGGAGATTATAGGGGACTAAGAGCTCAGGGTTGGGTGGAAGGTGTCACTGAATTTGGCTGCTGGCTATCATGGGTCTTTTCCAGGTCACTGGGCAGGACACACGTCCCTTCCAGCTTACAGTGGAGAAGCTGGAGATGGCCCTGCAAGGAGCTAACTCTGAGGTCTGGGGATCAAATTGAACCCAGGGCTGGGAGTGGGTGGGTGTGAACCCCTCTTCTTATAGCTGATTTTGACACCCATGGTGGTGTGGAAGCATGGAACCACTCTGGGGTCGGGCAGGAACCTGACCATGAAAGGTTCTTCCATTACCAAAAGACCCTTAAACCTCAGTGTCAAGAGAATCAACCAGGGAGCTTTATTAAAAACACTTCTCTCTCCTCCGTCCCTCTGATTCTGTTTCAGGGGTCGGGTGTGGTGCTAGGAGTTTATAGCTCAGCTACTTTTCTTGGCAGTTTGAAGGAGTGGTCCTACTCACTTTGAGAGGAACTGGGATCCCCTGAAGAAATGCAGAGATTTGTGCTCCAGTCCACTTTTCAACAATCTGTCTACTTAGTTTATTTGGCCTTTGTCATTCAAGCTGTCACATGCTCACTGTAGGAATTTTGGAAGTACAAAACTCCCACTCCTAATTCTTCCAACCCAGGCAGCTCTGCTGGCTTTGGACACAGTTTCCTCTGTTCTCTACAGTGCTTTTCTTTCCATAGTTCACACGATGCTGAGGAAATAATTCTGGGTCCTAGTTGTTTGCTTCATGTTGGGTCATAAACCTATCCCTGTCATGCTTCCCTGGAAGGCATCTGGTGGTCAGCCCCATCTAGTGGGACTATGTGACTGGTCTTGGGGAGGAACTGAGATCTTCTGCCCTATGGACAATTTCAGGGTGTGAAGGTCAGAGGCCTCATCCTCATCAACCCCCAGAACCCTCTGGGTGACATCTATTCCCCCAGAGAGCTGCAAGAGTTCCTGGGATTTGCCAAGAGGTGAGCCTCCCTCTGCCCCCAGAAGCATCTGGGCAGGTGGGCTCTGACATGGGATCTGGCCTGTATACCCTGTGCACTCCACTTTGGGCTTCTGTGTGCTTTGATTTCTCTCTGGCAGTTGAGTGGGGAGGTAGGGCTTTTTGGGATGTCATTTTTCTTTTTCTCTTCCATTTTATAACAATAGCCATCAGTTATTGCACACTGTAGGGCCAGGGGCCATGCTGGGCATTGTATCTGTATCTTTGTTAATCCTCACAATGACCCCATCAAAAATAGACACTCTTATAATCCCCAGTGGATGGAGTCTTAGAGTGGTCAAGTCAAGGATGGGGTCAGACCTGTATCTGGGTCCATCTGACTCAGCCTTTGTACTTAAATGTGCCCCTCATTGGAGATCTCTGTAGGTCCCACCTTTCCCCTACAGCATGTCAAACGCTCCATTTTTCTTTGCTTTGTAGCACAGTTCCCTGTTTGAAAAACAGACAAAAGAAAGGTATTCTTGGAAAAATAAGTTTGGTAGCACTGGGCTAGACCGTGGTCCTTCTGGTGTCTGATATATTGCCACCCCACTTTGGGGTACACATTTGGATCAAGCTCTTGTTTTTCCTACCACCTACCCACTCCAGGCATGAGCTGCACGTGATCATGGATGAGGTCTACATGCTGTCCGTGTTTGAGGACTCAATCAAATACCACAGTGTCCTGAGCCTGGAAGGGTGAGGCTCCCCGACACAACTGGCTCTTCCAGCACCCCAGTCTCTATGGTGTCCTGGCTTTTCTTTGACCTTACTCACAGGGGATAGCCTGCCCCAGGGCAATTTGTCTAACATCTGGCTGGTTCCACTGGTCCTCAGATCCTTAAAGAAGAAGGTGGGGGACTGGGTTAAATTAGGGGTTTTCAGATTATTCTATGGAGGTCCTAAGAGCTCCATGGAGGGGACTTAAGATTCCTGAGGGAGGGAAACTTGTCTCCTTTGCTCTTTCATTCATCTCCAGAGTAGCTCTAGTTTTTTTGTTTGTTTGTCTTGGTGGTACTAGGATTGAACTCAGGGCTTCCCAACTTGTTAGGCAGGTGCTTTACCACTTGAACCATGCTCCCAGTCCTTTTACTTTTAGTTTGTTTTTCAGAAATGGTCTCACACTTTTGCCTGGGCTGACCTCAGACTGATCCTCCTACCTCTGCCTCCTGAATGGTGTGACTATATGCATGTACCATTATGCCTTGCCTCAGAGTAGCTCACTCTTCCTTCCTTCCTTCTTCCTTCCTTCCTTCCTTCCTTCCTTCCTTCCTTCCTTCCTTCCTTCCTTCCTTCCTTCCTCTCTCTCTTTCTTTCTTTCTCCTCTTTCTCTTTCATCCATCTCAGAGTAGTTGAGTTTTATTCATTCATTCATTTATTCATCCACTCACATATTTATTCAGCAAATAGTTATGCTCCCCTTGCATGTGCTGAGCACTTCTGGCTATTTAAACAGTGGACTTTTCCATTAGAATTAGTTTGAGCACACAATTTATAACCTAAACACCTTTGGAAACACTTGAACCAGTTCATCTGCAAAGTCTGTGACTCTGACCTTCAGTGACTCTTGACAGTTCTTGATGTCAGTTCAGAACTTGAGCCCTGCTGAGTGCTGTCCACTGGTTTTCTCATCTGGTCCTCGTGACCAGATAGATGCAAAGCAGAGCTAAAATGGAGAGATCTGGGTGTCATGAAGGATCTTCTTGGGAAACTGATTGGCCTGTCCTTCTAGAGGAGGTTAGGGAGGTCTTTTGAGGGAATGACACTTGAGCTATGTTCTATCTCTGAGGTCAGACCATATGGTATCTCACTCAACTCTGCCATAGATACTATGTGAACAAATGAGCTTACTGTGTTCTGATAAAACTTTATTTACAAAAACAGGCAGCAGGCTAGATTTGGCCTCTGGGCTGTTTGCTGGCTCCTGTGCTAAAGGATGCTGGGAAGTGGTGTTAAAGAGATGAGAACAGAGCTTAACCCAGAACCATATTTGTCCATCGTCTCCTCATTGGTTAAAGCAAGTCTGTCCCCATGCTCTGCTCTCTGCAGGCTACCTGACCCCCAGAGGACCCATGTGATGTGGGCGACAAGTAAGGTGAGTTCCTGGCTGACCTGGGGGTGTGAGGGAGATGGAGGGAAGACAGGTGTGTGGAACCAGCTTCCTCCATGGAGGACTGGCTGGGTCCTATGGTGCTTCTTGTTGCAGGATTTCGGGATGTCTGGGATGCGCTTTGGCACGCTATACACCGAAAACCAGCATGTGGCCACTGCTGTGGCGTCCCTCTGCCGCTATCACAGCCTCAGTGGCCTGGTCCAGTACCAGATGGCACAGCTGCTCCAGGACTATGGTGACTGCCGGGGCCTGGTGACTCAGTAGAGGGGGATGGATTGTCATCAGTCTGGGACTGGCCAGGGATCATGGTGCTTCTCCCATCAGAAGAATTTAGTAATGCCACCCTAAATTCTAACATCTCTGGATCCAGACTGAGTCTATACTCTACTCCATCACTTCCTGGCTGTGTGGTACATTCCTTCACCTCCCGAACTTCAGTCTCTTCATCTGTAAAACAGGGATCACAATGGTACCTGTCTAATAGAGTGAGTGTGATTTGTCATTCAATTAGAACAGTACCTGGGATATAACAGGTGCTTACTTGGCTATTGTGAGCTCACTGGCCAGGTACTGTGGTGTGTGCTACTCAAAAGGCTGGGGCAGGAAGATTGTTTAAACCTGGGAGTTCAAGGCCAACTTGGGTAACATACCAAGATCTTGTCTCAAAAAAAAAAAAAAAAAAGGAAGTAAAATGTGAACTCATTATTAGCTAGCTGCGAGCAGTTAAAAAATAAGAGAAAAGCTTCTAAAGAAAAAGTTGTTAGCATGGCATTGTCTCTGCCTCTGCCAATCTATTCTGATAGATTCTATTCTAGGTTCTGATAGCAAGGGCAGATGGTGGATTTTGCTTTTTGTTGCTACCATTCATAAGGCATATAGATGATCTTACACCTAGGAAGCAAGAATTCTTATATTTTCCCCATTATTTGGGGAAGAAAATGAGAATCAGATATGACACACCCACTTAACAATTTTAGAAGCAGGGACAACATCAAGTGTTGACAAAGAGGCAGGGCAGTGGAACTCACATATGTCACTGATGGACGTGTAAGATAATTCAGCCATGTTGGAAAACTATTTGACAGTTTGTTACAAAGTCAAACACATAGGGCTGGGGAGGTAGCTGAATGGTAGAGCATTTACCTAGCATGTACGAAGCCCTGGGCTTAAATCCTCAGCACTGCAAAACAAACAAACACATAACCCCCCCACCCATATACCAAGTGACCCAGCTTGTAGGTGTTGACCTTGATGGTCACACAGAAACCTCTGCATGAGTGCTCGGAGTGGCTTTTCCTGACCACCCAAAACAGGAAACAGCTCTAATATTCCTCCACAGACGAATGGGTCCACAGACTGTGGCAGTCCATATCATGAAATAAAGTCTATGCCAGCATCGATTGACTTCAAAGGCATTTTGCTGGTGAATGAAGCTAGTCTCAAGAGATTGCATACTGTCTGATTCTATTTTGACATTTTGAAAAAGGCAAAACTAGTGATGGGTAGCAGATCAGGGTTATGGGAAAGGGTTGATGTGAATATAAACAGCATGGAGTTCTCTGGGGTGTTGGAACCATCCAGAATCTTGACTGTGATGGTGCCTACATGAATCCATATATGCATGATAATCCATAGAACTGTACATCTTTAAAAAGAGGTCAACAAATATATGAGGATCAAAGAGGTGAAGTTGCCTGAGGTTCCTCCCTTTGTCTTGCATTTGAATCTTGGTCTCTGTGGCTCTAAAGCATCACTTTGTAACTGGACATGTCTTTCATTTACATCCTGAGGGATTTTGTGCTCTGGGCTACTGAACAGCATGTGGGACCTGGAGCTGAGTATCTGGGTTAAAGGTGCTTTACACTAAACACTGAATTCCCAACTCATCCTCATCTCCTGGTCCCCCAATAAACCAGCTAGATGAGGGACTTCCATAGTCTTTGCAGCATGACCTTAGACTAGTGGGATGGAATGGAAGGCCAAAGAGAGATTTATCTTTTGGCTTCCTTTCACTCAGACTGGATCAACCATGTATACCTGCCAGCAAACCATGCCCGGCTCAAGGCTGCCCACACCTATGTCTCGGAAGAGCTCAGGGTCCTGGGGATCCCCTTCCTGAGTCGTGGGGCAGGCTTCTTCATCTGGATTGACTTGAGAAAGGTAATGCAGGTGGAGACGTGGGAGGGGAGGGAGTGTCAAACTTCCATCCAGCAGGTGAGGGGCAGTGGAGGTGTCCTCTGCATCTTGAGCCTCTTCTGCCCTCCCAGTACCTTCGCAAGAGCACTTATGAGGAGGAAATGCTGCTCTGGCGCCGATTTTTGGACAACAAGGTGCTGCTGTCCTTTGGCAAGGCTTTTGAGTGTAAAGAGCCAGGCTGGTTCCGTGTGATCTTCTCAGACAAGGTCCACCGGCTTCGCCTGGGTGAGCAGCCTCCTCTCCACTGCATCCCTCAGGCTACGCCACCTCTTCTGGCTCCCACCTGCCCACCCATCAGTGCTCATGGCTCCTTATTTCCTCTTCTCAGGGATGCAGAGGATCCGGCAGGTGCTTGAGGGCAAATCCCAAGACGCCCCTCCTTGTCAGCCCCAGCAGCTGAGTGACTAGCACAGATGAGCTGGCACTGCCTCACAAGCAGCTGCTGCCCCTGCCCTGGATATGCAGGGGCTGCCAAAAACTGGATGAGCAATTTGCCATCAGGATTCCCAGCCTGTTTTGCCTTTGAAGAATAGTTTCCTGCCTTTGCCGGTGACAGCAGGAGACTCTTTAAGCTAAGGTTCATCATGGGCCACCATGCTCCTTTATTCAAGTCTGGGGTCTGCTACATTCCTCTTTTGTGAGTAGTTTCTAGAATGGAGTCATGACTGCTCTAACCACAGCCCTCAGCCCCCCGAGGACATGAGAGCAAATAACCTGTACCTTCTTTGTGATGGTGCCTTTGGGCCTTTTTGTTGCTAGGGAAACAAGCCAGAGCAACAGCTCACACAGAGAGAATGCCGAAAAATAAAAAGGTGACAGCATTCTGAGGATCAGAGAGTGAATTCTGGTTGTTTGCTTCACAGCACACCAGGAACCTCGGACAGGCCTCTTCTTGGGACAAACAGGACCCTGTGGCAGGAGTTGAAGTGCCCTCTCGATCTCTGGGACTCACCTCCTCCTGCCTAAGAAGGAGCTGCCTACACCGATGTTCCCAAAACAGAGCGGCCCAGAAATGGCTGGTGGGGAGCGGGGGAAATTTGGGGCTGGAACTCTGAGCTGAGGCTGTGTGGGGTTGACCTGACTGACACTGACCGTTCCATGCTAAGTAAATGAGTGAGGGGCTACTCTCCCCGACTCCAGGGTGCTTTAGTTCAGAGCCTAAAGGAACATTCTGATCCCTCTTGGACCATGGGCTGAGAACCTTCTCAAGTGCCATACTCCTGCCTTATAAAAGTGAATCTTAGATGTTGTCCCAGCTACTCTGGAGGCTGAGGTCAGTCGGGACAACTTAGTGGGATTACATCTTTTAAGAGAATGTCGGCAAAATAAGTGTAATCAGTCTGTAATCATGCTGTTTGGTTTAGGTTATTTCCCCCTGTTTCGATCTGCCTTTCATTCCATCATTCTTTCCCCCGCCACATGGCAGACACTGCTGGGGTAATTTATATGTGTTATTGCTTATTCAACAACCTTGGGAGATGACATTCTTATCCTCCACTTTTAGAAATGAGGAAGCAGTCTTAAGGGGACCCAGTGAGGGTCCCAACATAAAGCTACAAAGTGTCCGGGCCAGGATTCAGATTAGGTTGGCTTGGTCCAGAATCCTATGCTCTTCCCAGGCACCCAAACCAACTTCTAGAAGAAATGCTGGGAACCAGTCTTGTGTTGTCATTGTCATGATTTTCAATTGTGTTTTCATTCCCTTGGCCAAGGAGCAGTCTTCTACTCCCACTCTTAAGAAAATACTGGGATCAGGATTTGTTTTACAAGAGTGACCTCAGCCTTTATGGAGGCTCAGGATGGTCCCCATAAAGACTGTGTCCTCACCAAAATCTCTGCTTCGACTCTGCCACTGTTGTTTGGAGTCTCCCATGTGACACAGCCTTTTAAGAATTTTCAGAGGCAGGAGTCTAGACACTCCTTTGGAGAGAACTCAAGCTGGCTCCCCAGCACAGAGAGTTGGCCAGGGTATCTGGGCCTGCACTGAGCCCATGTCTGAGGATCAAACAGGAGGCCTGTGGCCCAGTGGCTGTGCTCTACAGAATGAGCATGCTCTATCTGTGTTCTGGGGATTGTGGGTCTGACATATTTTACCTCCATCTGAAGTCCTCTTGGCTTTTTGCTTTGCCTATTACTGCAGTTATTCAGTGGTGTGTGTATAGCCTGAAAGTGTCTCACCTCTATCATGTATCTCTTATTTTCTGTCTTGAGCTTCTCTCTCGCACCTCCACAGGACCTGAGGGACACTTGCAAACTAGGAACTATGTGAGAGTTAACACTTCCGGGTCAATCCTTGAACAATGGCAGATAGGACTCTGTGGATAAAATTCCTTTTCTTTATACAAGTGGGCAGTTCTGCAATATGTGGTTCCCCAAGAGTCCCTAATGGAACTGAGCCCCCAGTGCCCATGGCAGTAGCCAGCTTTATAACAGACCCTCAGGTTGTCATTTTCTTCTGGTTCACTCATTCCAATCTTCTCATTCCTCCCCTAAGATTGCTTTCCAGAATAACCATCTGCACCCAGCCTCTCTCGGGGGGTGTGAGTCAGGTATAAATGGTAGGTGGAACAAAAAGTAGCTTGAGATGCGGGTCCAGGTTGGTACCATTTTTCTTGATCTCCACATTTGTGCTCCCAAAGTGTTCTTACATTACGAATCTCTGCAAGAATCCTCTATATTGTAAAAAATATTACAATGAAAAAGATTTCGTCTAGGGAAATCTCAATGGGAATTCTTAAGCTATTGTTTAAGACTCTTTTGTTTATAAAGGGCCCAAAATGGTAGAAATAGCACAAATTTTAAAAAGGAGGCCTGGACGGGGGGCAAAAATGTACTGAATTAACACAATGGGAAAGGGAAGGGCAGATGTTTTAGGCATGGCTTTAGTGAAGAGTTCAAATGATGCCATCAGATTTTATGCTTGTTCTCATCTCTTCTGTATGACTTCATTGTCAGGCATGCTGCATACAAATGGTGGCAAGATGGCTGCTGAACAGCACCAAGCTATACAATCTTTGTAGCAGATGCGTATTGGACCCTCCAGGGATTTGGAAAGACAGATACCAATTCCTCCTTGGCAGCCATTTCTCTCCTCTCACAGGTGGCCTATTGGTGCTACTCACTTGCCTGCCCATCCAGGCAAATCAGTATTTTGAGCCCAGGTTCTACCCATCTGTCTACTTTGCCATCTTGTGTGTTGAATTTTTCCTCTTATGGTCTTTTTTTGGCGGGGGCGGGGGGAGGGAGGCTGGAGTTTGAACTCAGGGCTTCATACTTGAAAAGCAGGTGTTCTACTACTTGAGCCACATCTCCAGTCCATTTTGCTCTGGTTATTTAAGAGATAGGATCTCTTGAACTATTTGCCTAGGTTGGCCTCAAATCACGATCCTTCTGATTGTAGCCTCCCAAGTAGCTAGAATTGCAGGTGTGAGCCACTGGTGCCTGACTTCCAACACAGTTTTTTTTTTAACATAGCAAGTTCTCATTTAATGAAAGAATGAATTATTAAAATACACATTTTTTGTTATTATTGTAGCTAAATTGAACTTTTATCTTTTTATTTAAAAAAATTTATTTTTGAGTTAGCATACATTAATAATGCCAGGGGGTTTCATAGTGATAATTCCTACATGTGTACAGTGTACTTAAAATATATGTTTTAAATACACATAGAAGAGAGAGAAGGAGAAAGAAGAAGAAGAAGAAGAAAGCCACCGTCTCTCAGTCCAGATAACGACTGATGACCTATTTTAAAAAGTAAAACCAATGGTATAACAGGAGTTTGGCTGCAGTACTATCAGTTACTGGCCCTGCTGGCCATCAATCATGTTCTCAGGGTGTGAATTTCCTATTATGAATGGATGTGGAGATAGAGGGCAGAGCCATACTCTCTTGGATGTGGGAAAGAAGGATAAGGGTTTCCCATTTCTAGAATGCTCTCATTCCGACCTCCTGAGATCTATGATAAGGAAGCATTAACTCAAAAGTATTCCCGCAATCACTGCTACTTCAGGAAGCCTCAATCCGGCTTCAGACTCAGATCATTCCATGAATATTTAAGCTGTGACAGCTTCCACCAGATGGCGCTCTAAAGCATGGCTGAGACCAAAACGGATTTGGGTTCTGCAGCCAGGCCCAGACCTCCACCAGCCATCAAACACCAGCCCAGATGGGTCATTTCATTAACCCCAGTAACATCGCCCTGCATATTAATTTTTTTAAAGTCCATTTACTTCTTTATAATAGGTTTTACTTGTATGTAAAAGGCTACATTCTGTACATAATGCAGAAAGAAACGAAAACGTCTCTATAATTATTCCACCCAAAACTGTTATAATTGCTTATTGGAGTCTTTCCACAAAAATTATTGCACATGTGCCTGAGGTAAGCATCTACTCACACGTTTTCTCTCTCTTGTTTTTGCATGCATATTTTCCCTAAAGGTCCTCATGCTTACCCACTGTTTTGGACCATGGTTGCTTATTAATATTTGGAGATATTTCTTTACCAACATATATTCCATATTCCATTCTAACCGTGTCCCATGATTCATTTAGGTTGCTTTCAATATTTTTCTATTATTGGAAACAATGTTGTCATGAATTTTTTGATAAACCTTGTTGAGAGGGTAGGGATTGTTGGGACTAGGGTCTGGCGCATTTTGCATTTGATGGATAGTGCCAGATTGTCCTCTGGGAATGTTGCACGCTCTCCAGCACTGATTATGCTAAATGTTTCCATTTTTGACAGCTTTACATTTGACATACGTAGTGCCTTCTTGTTTGGATCTGCACCTTCTCCAGTTGAAAATCAGGCCTTCCATCTCTGAGCCCGAGCCCCTCGCGGTGCCCTGACTCCTCCTGTCCGGCAGGGGGCGCGGCACGGCCGCACTCGCATGCGCAGTGCGCGCGGTGTCAGACGCCGGCGTCGCTTTCCCCGCCGCGGGTTTGCGCGGACCTGGCCTGAAGGTGGCCCCGCCTTGGAGCGATCTCACCCGGGCGACCGTGGCCCGCACCCCGCGGCATGAGCCGGTGACCGAGCGCCGGGCCGAGCGGGAGGCAGCCGTGGCCGAGGTGAGCGCGGTGCGCAGGCCCGGGCGGGCAGGCCAAGTGCCGGGCGGGCCGACGGGACCGGGCCGGGGAGCGGACGCGGGAGGCGGGGAGCTGCGAGAGGCGACCCGCCCTGCAACCCACTGCTGCAGCGCTTTGACTCCGCGTCCCTCTGTCCCTCCGTTCCCACCTGTCCCCCTCGCCTGCTGCTGCCCCGGCCCCGCCCTCTCTTTCCTCCCGGGACCCGCCCCCCTCCGTTCGGACCTCTTCTTCCTGCTGCCACCTCGCTCCGCGACCCGTCCTCCCGCCCGCGGCTGGCCGCAGTGGGCATGGTGGCCGAGGCCTGGAGGTTCTGGGCTCCGCCTGCTGTGTTCTGGCGGACCCTGGGAAGCAGATCTGGATACAGTGTCCAGTTGGGGACTCCAGTACTGGCTTGGTGTAACTTACTGGGAAGGACTCCCTATTTGTCAGGGGAGGTTGTGCACTTTAATTCTTGTGAGTCAGTCAAGTGCCTGAGTGCTTGAGCTGAACTTGGTGTGTGCGGTTCAGAGCTCAAAGGCTATTCGTGGCAATAAACATGACTGAGTTTCCATCCTTCCTGCTTTTCTCTGACTGACAGATTCTGTTTGCACTTGACCCATGTGCGTGGATCATCAGTTGTGGATCCTAGCCTCGGCCTTTTATAGTTACATAGTATCGGTCAAGGTCTTTTAGCCTTTCTGTTGTACTTTCTCTATCTGTAAGATGAGGGTGGTAATACTT